TTGGCACCTTATAGTCTTCTCACTTACATCCAGGAACATCGAGGCAACCACATGAAATTCTTCTCCATTTTCAAGGGATGACAGTTTTAGGCATTGTTGATGTTGGTTTAGTTTTTTGTTGTCTAAGTAAGCTGTCAATTGGGATTCAGTAAGGGTTAATCTGGGGATCACTATGGAGTCAAGGTGGTGTTGGTGACAGATGATGACAGAGTGAAGGAGAGAGGCGAAAAGGGTACAGATGATTTCTCAGAGGTTCTTTCCAAGAGTCTCACAGGCCCTGACAGTGTCTGTCTTTATGTTAAAATTCTTTACATGCTGTCATAATATAGTTGGGAAATCACTCCTCATTTCTCTGTTGTCTCTGTTGCCAAACGGTTTAAGTTTGAGGAAATTATATCTTCTCATGTCTATGGTATTGAGAGCGTTGTTCTCTTGATGAAATTTGACGCTGCTTCTGTGGCTTATGGTTTCATTAAGTTGACCTTCCACGCAGATGTATTGTGTCATTTTTAGTTTGAACACTATTTAGTATGTTTTGGTGTGGGATTTTAGTGTTTTATTTGCCTGTGGCTACTTTAAGGATGCTTTTTATTTACTGGAAAATATGATGGAGCTTTGGAAGAAGTTTCAGCATATCACAGAATAACCATATTGGCTAAAAGAGGCTTTAAATTAGTTAATGGCTCTGTTTGAGAACTCTTCCCATGTTTATTTTAGCCACACATTCACAATAATCAGATATCACTTTTTTTCTAGAAAGGAGTTCTTATTTTTGCTCTTGATCTGGAGGTGGTCTGAATGAAGATACCTTTCAGGCCTTAGCTGATGTGAGAAATCTATTCACACTTGTTGGCCATAAGACGAACAGTACCGAGGTCTCCTCTGAGGAGCTGCAGGAAAACATAAAGAACGGCAACAATAACACTAAGAACGATGAATGGAGTAGATGAACTGAAATATAATTTCACTATTTACAAACCACAAGCCATGACTGAAGGAAAAAAGATCAAACCAGTCATCTTTCTTAATTACATGTGGGTAGGCCTGCTATATTTAATCAGCTCCACATAATTAGCAGGGTCTTTCCCCAGTTTACAAAATACAGGCTGCCATTCTACAGTTCTTTTAGTCTACCCTTCTCCTGTCTCATTTGTGTTATTTGGTACAATGATCTGACACTAGTTTTATATCACAGGTTCACCTACGCAGAAAGGTGAACCAGTGCCATTATGTACTTGTGGCGTCTAATTGAACCAAACCATGTGCAGGAGATGGAAAAAGGCAGAGAGCAGATAGCCTGCACCAGAGCTAATGCAAGTAATACCCCCCGAAAAAGCCCAGCTCATATATGTAATATCCAAGCTACAAGGCAATTTTCATTTTGGCAAAAAATCTGCAGTTTTTCCTACTTATTACCATAGCTGAGGCAAAAAAATAAATAAATATATATAATCATCCTCATGAAGTCCCAATGTAAATTCAAACTCCCTTAGGAATTCTTAAGTAGTTGTCCTGCTATCTTCTTCAGTTAACTTTTTGTCAAAAATACAAAAGATAAATCTCCCGGATTCAGCTTTTGCCACTTCAGTGTGAATCCATTGCAAAAGTGAAGGTTTGCAATTGAACCACTTTGAATATTCACTGTACAGCAACATATGTGTGATATTCAGTGGTTCTAAAATAATCTTCTCCCTGGACAGTAAGCACCAGTAAAATTTAAATTAGTGTAATTAACCTAACCTAACCTTAAAGAGCTTATACCCAAACCTAAAAACGTCATGACTTATTCCTAGCCTGAAGAAGTTTAACTTACACATCAGTCATGACTTATACCTAAACCCAAAGAAATCGTGACTTATAACTAAACCCAAAGAAGTCGTGACTTATAACTAAACCCAAAGAAATCATGATTCATTACTAAACTCAAAGAAGTCATGACTTATAACTAAGCCTAACGAGGTCATGACTTATACCTAAACCCAAAGAAGTCATGATTTATAAGTAAATCCAATGTTGTGACTTATAACTAAACCTAAAGAAGTCATGGCTTATACCTGAACCTTAAGAAGTCATGACTTATAACTAAACCTAAAGAAGTCATGGCTTATACCTAAACCAAAAGAAGTTGTGACTTATAACTAAACCTAAAGAAGTTTTGACTTATACCTAAACCAAAAGAAGTTGTGACTTATAACTAAACCTAAAGAAGTTTTGACTTATACCTAAACCAAAAGAAGTTGTGACTTATACCTAA